AGCCTGCCCGGCGCGCCCGCCGAATCAGCGATGCTAAAAAACGCGCGCAAATGCTGCCAGAAACCTATGTCAGCTTAGACGGTATTATTCTACAACAAACGCAACGCACGCAGCTACAAAAATGCCATCGTCCCAAAGCTTGGGTAAACCGATAAACTCACGCATCATCATCATAATCCTCATCATCATTGCGGGGGATGGGGTTCTGAACTTCAAACAGGGACATCTGATTGGGCCGATGACTACTACGGTAATGGCTGCTCTCAATCATCATGATCGCATGACTCGTCCTCGCAGGTTGACTGCACCTCAGCTCTAATCCTCCTGCAAAGGGTCCCAGAGCTCCTCGTCAGCGCCAGGCAGCCCTTCTGCCGCGGGATCGTCGTCGAACCCATCATCTCCTCCGGCAAAGCCGCCGCTCTGGCAACCACCGCCACCGCCGCCGCCGCCCTCCTGCTGGTCACCACCATCGCCGCCGCCGCCCTCCCCCGCGCCGGCGTCGGCCTCCGCTGCCGCGGCGGCGCCGGTGTTGCGGCGGCTGCGGCGCTTCGGCCCTGGCTGTACCTTCGGCGTCGGCGCCACCTCCTTGCCGACAGCTTTCGCGTACTCCTTGTTGAACAGCTTGGACCCAGGATCCGCCATCGCGCTCTTCACGAGCTCCGCCAGGTGGAGGTAGATTTTCTCCATGTGTTCTTTCGTGAAGGCCACCCCGACGTATGCGACCCTCTCCTCGAGACAAGCCCACGCGAATTTCGCGTTGAGCGGGGTCATGTCGAGGACGCATTTGACAAAGAACATGTGCAGCAGCTCTTTGTAGAAGAGAAGCGGCATGCCGTGGTAGGAAATGGGGACAACGGTAGAGTCGGTTTTCCGCTCGGCCTCGCCTTGAATGCCCTCTGTTTTGCCCCCCACCGCAATCAGATTGCGCTTCCCGTATATTGCCTTTTTGTCTTTCCACGTCACGTGCCATTCCTTGCTCAACTCTGGGAGCTCGATGCCGTTGATCAGATCCCCCGCGGTGCTGCCCTCGAAGTGCTTGCGGCGCCGCTCAGGGACCGAAATGCGCGAGTGCGCCAACATGTGCACCCACTCTACCTGCTGCAAGCTCCCCGTGCCTCCGTGAACCCTGTTGCGGCGCTTCTTGAGGCTCTCCTCCGTGTACGCGAGCTGGATGATCGAAGCTTTGAAGCCGGCCTTCTTCTCAGCGTCGCTGTTGTCGTCATCCTCCTTATCATCGTCATCGTCGGGCTCATCGCAGCCGCGCCCCTTGCTCGGCGGTGTATCCTTTTTCGTCTCGATGGTGTTCTCCTTCCACGGCCCGAGCAACTTGGTCGCGTTGCCCCTCCGCCCGCCGTCCAAAATCACTGCGACCTCCCCATTGCGGAGATGGGCTAGTTGCCCCTGAGGCGCCCTCGCGTTCAGCATCGCCCGCACGAGGCGGTGGTACGGGCCATCCCTGAGGGGCGCAATGCGCAGCTCAGGCCTGGTGAGCGGCTCGCCGAACTGCTTCACGTCGAAGTGGCACAGCACCAGCCCCGTGGGGTCACCCTTGATGGTGGCGAGCGCGGAGTCCCGGAGCATGGTCTCCAGCTCGGCCGCCGTTTTCTGGTCGGGCACGATCTGAACGCACGTGCGAATGAGCTTGTCGATGAATTTGTTCCAACTCGTTTTGTCCATCTCTGGCAGCTTGTCGAAGTTTTTCAACTCCGCGGGCCTGTCGCCCGCCACTGCGGTCATCTGCCCCGCAGGGTTGTCAGCCCCGGCAGCTGCAGGGGCGCCCGTGCCACTTCCAGCCGCGGCCGGCGTGTCAGTAGTACCATGCCCCCCATTGTTCTCCCTCCGCACCATCTCGATGACTTCGTTCACGCGCGTGGAGATCGATTCGTAGGCGAGAAAATCCGCCGCCTCGAGCTTCGACTGGACGGCGTTCCTGTAGCGAGAGTCGAACTCGGTTGTGTACACCAACTCCTCGATGAGCGTGACAGCCGAAACAGCCGACTGCTTGCCACCAACACTAATCAGAGCCTGCCACGTGGTATCGACTACCCCCCCTGGGTAGGAACTGACGTACGTCCGCACCGCGTCGAAGGTATTCATCTTCTCTTGCATCAATGTGACGTGTTCGGTTGGGATGCCAGCGCGCGGAAGCCACTTGAACAAGAGCTCGTTCTTCACGTCGTATTTCATGTTCAAGATTTCAACGTAGCTCTGCCTGTAGTCCCTGAGCTTGCTGACACCGAACTCGCCTAAGTTGATGAAGTCCTGGTGGTTCTGACCCCTCCCCAACGCTGATTCGCGCCGTCCCGCCGACGACGACGACGCGTCGTCGACGGGCTGGCGCGAGCAGCGATGGGTGTTCAGAACAACCCCCGGGGCGCCATGCGGTAATGATCCGTGAGGCCCATCATCGCCCAATCGATCTTGTTGGGGGTCGACGCGCGCTCGAGCACAGCGTGCATCGCGTAGAGGCTATTCCACGGGGACTTGTTCATCAGGTTCTCGTCCGCCCAGACAAGGCACCGATTGGACGCCTCCAGGGACAGCAACCGCTTGTGGACTGTGATTGCGTTATCCACGAAGGTTTGTTTCACTTTTTCAGTAGACCGCGCATACTTCATCTTCTTCTCGTAGAGCTCGCTGACGTCCTTGGCGCCCAACGTTTTCTCCAGCTCTTTTTCCTTCGCCGCCTTGAACCCGACGATGTCGTACACCCATTGCCTCACGGTGAGTTGGGCTGTCTCCCCATGCTCGATCCACTCCTGCCGAATGTTCTGGGCGCGCCAATACCGCAGGTCACCTGGCAACACCACCTCGAACGTCACTGGCGCCGAAAGCACGACCTGCATCCACTTTGACAGGATGGAGTCCTCCGCCTGCTGCTTTACCGCGTCAGCGATGGCCATGAGCAAGGCCAGCTGCGGCTCGATTGGTGAGAGGCGCCGCAAACTGCCCAGGTGCTTAGTGACGTCCATGTCCGAGCTGTCCACCGCGAAGACGGTGTTCATGGGGAAGACATTTGGCGGGCTCTTAAGGTGGTAGTTCACGATCTCCCTGACCTGCCCCATGTTCACAGGGGTGCGGTAGCTGGAGCTCCAGAAGAAGTTCTGCCAGAAGAGGTTGCACCCACATGAGTAGGGGGATCCGCGGCTGAGGGCATCAGCACAATCCTCCTTCACGAACGGCGCCTGGCGACCGCCCTGGGCGATGGTCAGCGGCATTTTCTTCTCGAGGTCGGCGAAGAATGGCGACCCCTTGATGGCGTTCAAAGCATCGGTGATGATGTCCAGCGTCGGGCCCACGACTTGGTTGGTCTCCGGCGGCGCCTCCGGCTGCGCACCTCCTGCCGAACCAGCAGGGTCAGACTCCGGCTGCTTAGCCTTCGCCTTTGCCCTTTTCATGGGCGGGGGGGCCGAGGCAGCCCCCTTCTGCTCACGCTTGACCGCCTTAGCGGGCATGACTGGCGTAACTCCCACTGCCAGTCGACGAGTCCACACGTTATGTTCGTTCTGAAGGGCCGCAACAGCCCGCGTCGGTACACACTGAACCAAAACGGTTGCGGAGATGGAAATGGAATTGGAGGAAGCGGAGGAGGAGGAGGAGGAGGCGAGCCGCAGGCGGGAGGGTAGCGGGGGGTCGACGATCGATCGACGGGCAGATCAGCAGCAGCGCTGACGACGACGACGACGAAAGAAGAAGGCGCAGGGCGGCGGCGAGCGAGGGTCGACGGCGGCGGCGACAGACGACGACGAACGCGACGACGGCAAGAAAGAGAGAGTTGGCCGAAACGGCCGTCAGGATCCGGCCGACGCAGCCGGCCTGGCCTTCGGCCGAAACAGCCAAAGTGGTAGAAATTGAGACGGGGCAGGGTTCCAAGTTCCAGAGCAGACCGACCATGGAAGGAGTGCGCGGACCAATCGACATGCCCAACCCACATGGGCCACTTGTTGTCCCGAAAGCGTTCCAGAGGCAGAATCTGACGTGGCCCAGATGTTCAGGCCCATCCCGAAGTAACTAAGAACTCAGAAAGCTCTCTTGGAGGCGCAGCTGACGCAAATCACATGCAGACAAAGAAGATGGGCGTGGCCAATAACCCATGGAGCTCTCGTGGAGGCGCAGCTGACGTAGTTGAACGGATGGGTGGGGGCATATGTCCCCGCCGCTGCAGGGGGCGCTGCTGGCTAGGAGGCCGCTGTTGCTGGCGGGTGGCCCCCCCTTCTCCTCTCCCCCCACTTCTCCACCCTCCAACCCTTCTCTCCTCCCCCTTCTCCACCCTCCAACCCTTCTCTCCTCGCTATCCCTCCTCGTCACGGCCCCCCCTCCTCCTGCTGCTGTTGCCTCTCCCTCCTCCTCCTCCTCCTCCTCCTCCTCTCCTCCTCCTCCTCCTCCTCCGCCTCCTCCTCCTCCTCCTCCTCCTCATTCGCCATCCTCATTCATTCATCGCCCTCTGATGTCTGATGATGGCGATGATGATTTTTCCACGGACGGGTCGAGCGCCGATCTCAGCATTCGTCTCGTAACTTGCGCACTTATAGCGAAGAGTAGCGTGCAACCCCCTGACTATACGGCGACCGCGCAGTCGTCACGTTGTTGACGCGCGTCCAGGTCGCAAAATTACAGGGGCGCTCGCTGGTCGAGCACACGACGCGGCAGTGCTTGTTTCAAGCACGGTGCTGCTCGCAAATAGTGTCTGGGTTCGACTCCTGCAACCTCTGGCAGCACACCCTGCACGCAAACCTAACGCAGTATGCGCCAGGCTGATTGCTGTTGCAATGGGCGCACATGGTCATCGCAGGCGCCGCGCGGACTCCTGCAGGCCTCGCGCCAGCTCCGAAGGCCCGTGCTCGAGCTAACTTCTTCAGATTCCAGGCCCTCGAATGCTGCGTGGCCGATTGCCAGCCCTGCCACTCCTCCCCCCCGGCCGATGCAGCCCCAGGCTCAGGAGGAGGAGGAGACGCGGCTGCCGCTGCAGCAGCTCCTGACGACGACGCCGAAGAAGCAGCCCCGGGCGACATCTGCAAGGCGATCAGGGTGTTCATTTGCGCCTGCAGCATCTCGACCTGATGCTGGAGCTCCTGCTGCGTCATCGTCGCTGCCGGCGCTGCTGCGCCCGCAGCCGACGACGACGGGCGCCCTGGCGTCGGCGGCGTCGTCGCCACGGCGTAGCGCCCAGGACGAGGAGGCACCTTCGGCTGCTGAGGCTGCAGCGGGATCGCCGTCGCCGCCGCCGCCTTCGCAGTCTGGGCCGATGCAGCCGAGGCGGCGGCCACCGACCCCCTGGCGGGCGGCGCGGCGGCGAGGTGGGTCGGCGGCGGCGCCAACGGCGGCGACGCCGCCTTCTTGGCCACCAGCAGCTTCGGCGCTGCCTTCCTCGGCGGTGGAGTGGGCGCCGCCGACCTCGGCGGCGTCACGGGCCGCCCGCCTCCTCCGCCTCCTCGGGGGCGACGACCGCCAGCGCCATCTGGGCGATTGTCGTCGTCGCCGTCGATGATGTCGCCGTCGTCGTCGAGCTCCTCCGTCGGCGGGCGACGGCGCACCCTGCTGGAGCGGCGCCGGCACTGCTCGATCAACTGCTCTGGCGTCTTGTCGGTCGGCGCGGGGCGATGAGGCGGCCCGAGCTGCGCCAGCTGGTCCCAGATGTCCATGTTCGGCAGGCCGAAGTAGTCCGCGACCTTCCATGGGCTAGCGGATTGTTATTATTATTAGTTGCGAGCCTCAGTGGGGAGGGGGCCCCAAAAAAGAAGAGGGGAATCCCCGACAACGACGAAGAACGACAAACGAACGACAACGACAGACGACGACGACGACGACGACGACGACGATGAAGATCACCGAGCTACAAAACACATACCCACCCTGACGCCCCCTCCAATAACAATAATGCGCCAGCCACCTCCCAGAACGTGCTCATCGTGAGCAGCAAGTCGTCGTCGTCGGGGTCCCACTTAGACCCAGCGGCCCTGACGCCCGTGTACTGGATGACGGCGTTGATGGTGTTGGCCTGCTGCTGGCCAGCCTCGTGGATGACGCTCCACAGGCACTCGAGGTCGTTGTCGATCATGTGCGTCAAGACCACGCGGTCGTCAGCGCACTTAGCGCCTTTCCCATCAGGCCCGCTCTTCTGCTTGGTCAGGTGGACGTTCATCTGCCTTAGCCCCATCTCGAACAGACCTGTGCTCCTGATCAGCCGCACGACCCAAGCCTCCACCTGGCCCAACCTATGATGGCGAGAATGCCACGTGCCACGGTTAGTGCGACTGATGAAGTGGAAGTCGCGCAGGCCGAACTCAGCCGCATAGAGAACCGCAAAAGGCCAGAACCCGTGCTCCACAGCCATATAGATGTCATCGCCTTTGGGGGCGCGCAGGCTCATGGCGCGCCCCGCGGAGGCGCCGCGGCGAATCTGGCGGCGGGCTGGGCGCCACCGCCAGGCCGCCGCGGCGCCGCCTCCGAGTGCGCCATGCGCTTGCACACCTGGCAGAACCTTCCAGACGACCACCCTGGCCGTCGTCGCCCTCCCCAGACGCGACGCCCCCCACGTCGACGCCCAGCACGGGCATGGCAGCGGCGGCGGCGGTCGGCGGCCGATGCGGGCCGCTGCTGTGTGGGGAGAGGACAGGAGCGGAGCCCGCTCCCAGCACTCAGCCAAAATGGCTGTTTGTTACGGTGCAACGTGCTGCCCGCCCTCTTTCCCCCTTTTCTTCTTCCCCCTGGGGGGTTGCTGGCTCTCCCCCGCCGTTCGTGAGCTTAAAAGCTGTTTCGGCCGTGCCCCCCCATGACCGTCGTTTCGGGCTGCGTCCAGCTGGGGCGACGACGAGGAGGCCCCCCTCCGAAAGCCAGAACTCCCAAAATCTCGATCCGCCAGGGCCGAGGCTCGAGCGCCGCCGCGCTGGCTGAAGAAGGGCGCTGTTGATATATATATATATATATATATATATATTCCCCGCGCAGCTGGAGGTCCCTGGAGGTCCCTGGAGGTCGCCGGATGTCCCTGGATGTCCCTGGAGGCCCCCGGCAGCAAAGGCCTCTGGAGGCCTGGAAACGTCAGAGAAATGTAGGAAGGCATCCTCGGACGTCAGAGCGGGGGAGGCGCAGAAGAAGCGGGCATCCTCGGACGTCAGAGCGGGCATCTTCGGACGACGGCGAGGAGAAAGCGGAGGAGGCGCAGACGGAAGTGGCGGAGGCACGAATGCCGATGAATGGAATCAGGACGATGGCGGAGGGAGGAAGGAGACATCATGGTGAAGTTGTTCGGGAGGGGGGAGGAGGAAGAAGAGGAGGGGGATGATGAGGACGACGACGACGGGGAGGAGGGGGCCAGGAGAAACAAAAAAAAAAAAAAAAAGGAATGGGCGGAGGACAAGGACAGGAGGAGCGCCCTCCCTTCCCGCGCGCGCCGCCCAAGTGCACCGCCGTCGCCGTTGCCGTCGACGTCTCGCCGCCGCCACCGCCGCCGCCGCCGCCGCCGGCCGAAACGACCAGCAGGGGAGCGCGGCCGAAACAGCCGCCGCCGCCGCCGTCGCCGCTCCATCGTCGTCGCGTCGTGTTCTTTCTCTCTGTCCCTGCCCCCCCCGAGGACGAGCACATACTGTCGAATTCTTGACGCTTCTGTTTGATCATCTAATAGCCTTCGGCCCACCTGAATGATGATGAATACTGACCCTGATGATGATGGCGATGATGATGATGATGCTGATGATGATGATGATGATGTGTGCCCTCGCGGGCGCGAACGATTCCCCGTCCGTCCGTCGGCCTCCTTAGCCACAGACATGTTCGATTCAGTTTTTGGAATCACATGTCGACTTTTCTATTGTGGACAATACAGAACTCCCCAACTTCCGTCGGCCTCTTTAAAGGGCCACAGAAATTTCAAATTCAGTTTTCGGAATCACATGTCGATTTTTCTATTGTGGACAATACAAAACTCCAAAACAAATCCAAATTCAGTTTTTGGAATCACATGTCGACTCTTCTATTGTGGACAATACAGAGGGTGACCCGCGCGGGGTCGGGTCACCCCAAATCCCGTCGGTCACCTTAAGGTGACCGACAGGATTTCGGGTGACCCGACCCCGCGCGGGTCACCCTCTGTATTGTGGACAATTCAGAACTCCGACGCGCGCGCGCGTGGGATTTCTGTATTGTCCACAATAGGAAAGTCGACATGTGATTCCAAAAACTGAATTTGAAATTTCTATGGCCCTTTAAGGAGGCCGACGGATGTTGCGGAGTTCTGTATTGTCCACAATAGAAGAGTCGACATGTGATTCCAAAAACTGATTTTGACATTTCTGCGGCCCTTTAAGGAGGCCGACGGATGTCGGGGAGTTCTGTATTGTCCACAATAGAAAAGTCGACATGTGATTCCAAAAATTGAATTTGAAATTTATGTGGCCCTTTAAGGAGGCCGACGGATGTTGGGGAGTTCTGTACTGTCCACAATAGAAAAGTCCACGCGTGATTGCGAGGCCCAACGCAACTTCATAATAATAATGCAACGATCGCACAGCGCGCCGAGCACTCGTGCGCCCGCATTAATTTTTTCTATATATTAATTAATTTTTACGTAGCTAGAAATTAATATGCGCGCTCGTCGTCAGCACGTGGGGCAATGGAATTTTAAATTCCGCTGAGCACTGGAAAGAAGAGGGCCTCCAGGAAGGCCCGAAAAGGCCAAAATCATTGTTTTTCCGTGAGTTTTTGAAGGATCGTGGCATGTGCCTTTTTCCGGCCTTCCGATGGCCCGAGACGGCCCAAGTGCCCCCAACGATCGCCCAAGAGGCCCAAGACGGCCCCAAGAGGCCCCCAATACGGCCGAAGAGGCCTCCAAGACGCTCAAGATGGCCTCCAAGACGGCCCAAGAGCCCTCCAAGACGTCCTCCAAGAAGGCCCGAAAGGGTCAAAATGGCCTCCAGGCGGCCAAGATGACCTTCGAGATGCCCACGTGTTCCCCGAAGGCTTCCCAAACCGATTCGGGGAACACATGGTCCGATAGCTTGGCAGGTCTGGCCTCAACGTTCGGCGACATAGGCGCTTCCACAAAGGCAGGGGGCGGCGGTGATTCGCCGTAGGCGTCTTCGATATTTCTTCTACGAGGACGAGAGCGAGTACGGGGAACCGTGATCCAGAATCAGTCGGGCGACGTTGCCTCTCAGTGCCTCCCGTTGTGTCACACGGTCTCCCAGTGTCTCCCGTCCTCTCCCGTTGTCTCTCCGCGTCACCCTACGAGCCTGTGTACACGCCCCTCTCTCCACCAGTGTAAAAATTATCCCGGCAAAGCAACCTAACAGCGATGTGTAGGAGCATATCTGGAAGCATTCCCCTTAAGATTCAGATAAGAATCCTGCTGTAGAATTCTGCTGTTCTCGCAGTCGTGGTCGCATTCGCGATGGCAGTCGCAGTGGCAACAGCAGTCGCAGTCACAGCCTCAGCCTCAGCCTGCCTCAGCCTCAGCCTCAGCCTGCCTCAGCCTCAGCCTGCCTCAGCCTCGCCCTCAGCCTGCTTCAGCCTCAACATCAGTCTGCCTTCAGCCTCGGCCTCAGCCTGCCTCAGCCTCACCCTCAGCCTGCATCAGCCTCAGCCTGCCTCAGCCTCGCCCTCAGCCTGCTTCAGCCTCAACATCAGTCTGCCTTCAGCCTCGGCCTCAGCCTGCCTCAGCCTCACCCTGCATCAGCCTCAGCCTCAGCCTCAGCCTGCCTCAGCATCAGCCTGCCTCAGCCTCAGCCTCAGCCTGCCTCTGCCTCAGCCTCAGCCTGCTTCAGCCTCAGCCTCAGTCTGCCGTCGGCCTCGGCCTCAGCCTCAGCCTGCCTCACCCTCAGCCTGCATCAGCCTCAGCCTCAGCCACAGCCTGCCTCAGCATCAGCCTGCCTCAGCCTCAGCCTCAGCCTCAGCCTGCCTCAGCCTCAGCCTCAGCCTGCTTCAGCCTCAGCCTGAGTTTGCCTGCAGCCTCGGCCTCAGCCTCAGCCTGCCTCAGCCTCAGCCTGCCTCAGCCTCAGCCTCAGCCTCAGCCTGCCTCAGCCTCAGCCTCAGCCTCAGCCTCAGCCTGCCTCAGCCTCAGTCAGCCTGCTTCCTCAGCCCTCAGCCTCGGCCTCAGCCTCAGCCTCAGCCTCAGCCTCAGCCTGCCTCAGCCTCAGCCTCAGCCTCAGCCTCAGCCTGCCTCAGCCTCAGCCTCAGCCTGCCTCAGCCTCAGCCTCAGTCTGCCTTCAGCCTCGGCCTCAGCCTCAGCCTCAGCCTCAGCCTCAGCCTCAGCCTGCCTCAGCATCAGCCTGCCTCAGCCTCAGCCTCAGCCTCAGCCTCAGCCTCAGCCTCAGCCTGCTTCAGCCTCAGCCTCAGCCAGCCTTCAGCCTCAGCCTCAGCCTCAGCCTCAGCCTGCCTCAGCCTCAGCCTCAGCCTGC